CAGAGAGTTTTTCCTGTAGTTGTGCTTCCCAGGACTGGAACTTGCTGGGCTTTGTTTAATATTCAGCCCAGCCTTGTGGGCATTTCCAGTGCCGGGCTCGCTGCTCCTTCTGTAATCTGGTTTGTTCTTTGGGGCTAATTAGCAGCACTTCTGACTGCCACTGATGTCCATTATGGAAATGTTTTCCTACACTTTCACCTACAGGATGTGTTTTAATTGAATATCTACTAAATAATATTACAGAGAAGGTAAACCAGGCCAAAGTTGTCTAATTTATTTAAGGCTGGTTAACAGAGACAGTGACATTCCAGAGCCTGATGTTTAATTGCCTGTGTTTGCTGGGAATGCAGACTGGGAGGAACAAGATTGCATTCCTGGTGAAGGGAACAGGAGCATAAATCTCAGCCAGCCAGCCAGAACCAGGGGAAAATCCAGCCAAAACCAGGGAAGAACCAGCCCAGCCAAAACCAGGGAAGAGCCAGCCAAACCAAAACCATCCAAAACCAGGGAAAAACCAACCAAGCCTCACTCCAAGTAGGAGAACTCCAAGGACTTGCACCTTGTGATGTCCTTGGAATCACCAGGTTGAGCTGAGTGGCTTTAAGGCAACCAGGACAGAGAAATCAGCTTTGGTCATTTATGGGGTTTCCATAGCCAGCCTGAAGCCTCCCTGAAACAAAACCAGGAGATTTTGGGTGGTTATTTTGTCTTGTGTGATTTATGGCATTTCCATACCCAGCCTGAAGGCTCTGTAAAGCAAAACCAAGAGGTTTTGGATAGTTTTGTCTCTTGTTTACCTGAGAAATACATGCAAAGAAGTGCAATATTTTTGTAGGGTCTGTTTGAAAATACTGCTTTTATCAACACTGTATTTTGGAGTTTTCCCTCTCTGCTTAGTTTCAGTATTGATATTGCATAAAATCTTGCATTTTACTCTCTGAGCCAAGGTTATTATATATTTCCCCCTGTTGAATATTTGATAAGGTCTCTTGGGTACTGATTTTCCTTCTTTCTAGGATAACATATTATGGAAATTGTTTCACCTTGTGTTCTGTTTGGAGTCCTGGTTTTAGCATGATTCAGTTTGGTTTGCATTATATTCCATGGAGTTCCTTGGCAGTTCCAAGTTATTCCAGAGTGTTTGTGTGCAGGCTGACTTTGGCTTTTCCTCCTGCTTTTGCTAAGTGACCTTCATAGGATCTTCTTGGGGTATTTGCATTTAAATGTAGTAGTAATTGGCCAAATTTCCTGCTGATTTTTCCTGAGATGAATTATTTGGATGATTGGAGTGATCCACTGGGGCCAGGACCACCAGGTTTGGAGTCTTCACACTCCAGGATCAGCTCCAGATCATTTGAAGTTGGTGCTTGGTAAGAACAAAACAACATTGCACACTTTAAAAAAAATATAATGGATGCTTTTCCTGTCAGAGTGTGAGATTCCCAAACCATTTGCTCCTCTTGATGAGTTTGTTGTGCAGGAAAGATTGGAAAGAGCAGCAAAAAATGCCAAGTTCAGCAATGTCTCATCTTGGGATATCCTGAGGTAGAAATAAAGTCGTGTGATCACATGGAAATCTAATTCTCTTCTCAGGAGCTCTGCACCCTCCAAAAGCCCCTTTGGCCTGAATTTTCCTCTAATGTCCATGTGGGTATAAATAACCCATAGGATTATCCTGCAGGCTATGGCTTCTCACCCAAAATCTAGGGCAAGGACAGTTATTAACTATTAATTAACTGTGTGTTAGTTCTCCAGTTTTTGGGTGGAGCTGCTGTAAATTCACTGGAAAGTACATTGTATGTGAAATATAATATATTATATTTCACATATATATTGTATATATTATAATACCTAAATGTGGTATTTTGAGGACCGTGCACATTTTACAGCTCCCTTGATTAATGATAGTTTGATACAGGGAGTATTTTCAGGAACATGAATATGTTCCAGGTTAAAATAATGATTTCAGCAATTTCTAGGAAATACTTTTAATTTCATTTACTGGCAAAGGAAGTTCACACCACTGTAGTTAGTTACTGTGGGTTTAAGTAATCCCAAATCTGGCAGAACCTGGAGCATCCCAGAATGGTTGGGGTTGGAAGGGACATTAAGACTCCTCCAGTTCCACCTCCTGCCATGGGCAGGGATGGAACTTCCTTAATTGAGTTCCCAGCTTCTTGCTACAGGTCCCTGATGACCAGGATTCAGATGGAGCTGGAATTTTTTCCCCTGGCATTGCTGAAACGTTTGGATGAGCCTGAGTTATGATATTTCCTGGGTTTAATGGATGACTTTAAATATATGCATGTCAAGTGGTGTTTTACTGCAAATCCTTGGCTACAGTGGGGAAAAATTCCAGAGCTTCTCTGGTAGAAAAAAGGAAAACTCGGGAATAAAATCAAACTTGCCTGATGAACCAAAGAAATGAAGGTGCTGCACTGGAGATGGTATGAAAAGCAAATATATTGGGAAGTGTGGGGTATAAAATGGAGGAAAACATAATTACCTGGTAATGATACCAAATTAATGCAGCTTGATGGTTTCTTTTATGTTGTGAACATTGGAATGTTGGATGTGCATAAAGCTGCTCCTGGCTTTTATTTGTGGTGTTTAATGGTTTAAAATTGTGCAGTTACTCAAGGCTGTGTGGGAGACTGAGCTGTGGCCATAGGTCTGAATTTTGCCTAAAACAACACATGAAATATAGTATTAATGGGAGCCTTATTTGTATAATTTATATACAAATAATATAATTTAAATATGTGATTATTTCACGTAATTATACAAATACAACAAATTTTATAATGTATTTTATAGCATGTATTAAAATATGTAATTATTATATATAATGATATAAATATAAGGGTAATTATGTAATATAATTTACAGTATATATAATGTAATATAGAATAGGATGCAGAATATAATTGTGTAAGATCTCTAATATAATCTATTGGCTAACTAAAAGATAAAACCCTGCCACAGCCTGGCTGATTGATGCCCAGCAGCCTCAGGCTGGGAAGAGGTTTTCATTGGAAGTGACAGGTGCCCCAAGGTTTATTTAGGACAAGCTCAGCCTTGTCCTGGTTAGTTTGATAATGTTTTCCTTATGGATGTTCCAGCAGTGCATTTCCTGCGTTAGGGCCTTGTGTTACACCAATATTCCTGTCTGGGCTGCCTCAACTACAAATTGGCTGAACAGCCCGTGACACTTTTTCAATATTATTACATTAAACCAAGTGGATTTTGATTGATAACCTAATATTCAACTAATGCAAAACATCAATCATGGCAAGTATATTAATTATTTAATATTGCAGCCTAATTCAGGAATCGATGTGCTGCAGGAGGGGAAGGGAAACTCGCTGTTCCCAGAAGGTTTGAGACAGGGCATGATTAAAAAACAGCCCCACCAAGCCCTGCTCTGCTCCCGCGTGTTGGTTCGATACAAATCTTTATTCATTTGCCAATAATCTCCTCACATTTTCCACTTCAGGACCATTTTTATCAGTTTTGAGGCCTGGAATTGAATTAGGGCTGCTTTCAGCGCAGGCTGAGGGAGGCGCGCGGATATTGATGGCAGGGATGGGGCTGGCCTGGGAGCTCTCCCAAAGCAGCTCCGCCTTCAAGGGCCAGGTGGAGCCTCCAAAGGGATCAGGGAGCCATGGAATGCTTTGGGGAAGGGAGATCAGTCCCATCCATCCACCCCTGCCATGGCAGGGACACCTCCCCCTGTCCCAGGTGCTCCAGCCCCAGTGTCCAGCCTGGCCTTGGGCACTGCCAGGGATCCAGGGGCAGCCACAGCTGCTCTGGGAATTCCATCCCAGCCAGGAATTCCCAATTCCCAATCTCCCATCCATGCCTGCCCTCTGGCAGTGGGAGCCATTCCCTGTGTCCTGTCCCTCCATCCTTGTCCCCAGTCCCTCTGCAGCTCTCCTGGAGCCCCTTCAGGCTCTGAGCTCTCCCTGGATCCTCCTCCTGTCTCCAAAATTGGGATAAATCCTGTAGGGCTGAGAAAAATAAATTCTCTCCAAGTCTAACAGCTAAAGTACTTTCTATTTTTTTTCTTCCTTCTTGCTTCATTAATGACATTTAAATAGGAAAAAAACTGCGTAGCAGATTTTTGGAAAAGCTTTAGGAAATGATAAATAATTAGCAATTTCAGTACTGGTAATTAGTAATACTGTACTGTTAACTGGTTCCCTGCAGTCCTCACGGGCTGGTTTCTCCTTGTTTGCTGTGGGAATGACCCACCTTCCTATAAGCAGAATTGGAATTAGGTAGAAACCTGGTGTTGATGGGAGCAGGAACCATCTCCTTGTCCAGTGGGTTGGGATTTGGGAAATTTTTAATTTTTCCATTTGATTTAATATTTTTTTTTCCATAGCAGGATGTGTTAAGGATAAATTTTCCCTCTGAATTTTTGCTTTTTTACTTGGATACTTTGGTCTATTTTTTTTTTTTAGCTGCCTTTATGTAAAATTCTTCCCATCTTCTCTCTGCACATTTGTTCTTTTTGCAGCTTTCAGGAACTGGATGCCCTACTCCAGCATAGCTGCCATGAGCCATGGAATTCATGACAATTCCTTCTCCCCATCCCCTTGGAAAGGGGCAGGGAATTTCATTGTGGGAGTGGTGGCAGGACAGAACCAGGAGGCACCAAATGTGGATTTGATGAACAGCCCTGTGTCCTGGCCTGGCTGATTCTTTCCACTGTAAACAGTGGGATAATTAGCTGAAAAATGTTGATTTAAATGTGCATCCTGTGGCATTGCTGCAGTTTGTAGCAATTTCAGGGCAGGTACTATGTGAGGGGTGAATTCTGTCATTGAGCATTAGGATAATTAATGTTTTTCATGTGTTACAGGTAAATATATGTATTAAAATTAAAAATTTGAGACACTGGAGAAATTACCCAGCTTTGCCATTTCAGAGTTAAACAGAAATCGTTGCAGACAAGGGTTTAGCAACTATTTAGAACTTTTGTTCTTCTCTTACAGGGACTCTGCAAACATCAAAGCTGGATTAGAACATCTGGTAAGTTTTAATTTTCTCTTGAACATTTGCATCATCTTTGATATCTGCATTCCAAATGAACACTTTTGAATGAGCTTTGAATACCTTGAATTGAGAAAGTCAACCATTTCCCAGAGGGTCAGGCTACTGTTATTATGTGAAGGCACTCACATTTTCATTTATCTCCCCATTTCAAGGGAATTTTAATTTTTTTAAATTACTTTTTTTTGATGTCGAGATGAAATAAACTGGACTACAATCCTTGGATTGATGATTGCCTTAATTATAAACAAAAATTGTTTGGTGTTGGGTTTTTGGCATATCCTGATCTAAAAACAACAAACTTGTGATTAAAAAAAAAGTAAAAAAAAAATAAAAAAAGAGCCAGGGACACAATCAAATATTGCATGCATAAATATGGTGTGTTTGAGTCATTTGGAGGCTTTGAAAGAAGTGCACAGCTTTGTGTTTTCTCTTGTCTTTGCTTTATGAATAATGGATCGACTTAAATTCCATTCAGGGCTGCAGTAGGAAATAATAATTGAGGTGCAAAATATTTCTGGTTTAAGTAAACATATTAAACCCACAAGTGATGGCAAGCCAGGCTTAGCATTAAAAACTCATCAGTTGATCAAAACTGGGAAAAATAAAACCTTGTCACAAGTCAGAAGCTCTTTGAGCCTCACAAGTTGGTACCAGCAGTCAGTGGAACATTAAATAGTTGATGTAAAGTGATTATTAAATCCCATTAAATGAAAATATTCACTATTAATGGCACAACCATCCTGAGAAGGGGTTAATTTTTTCATGGAGTATTTAAATAATCCCTGCTGTTCCATAGTGCTGTGAAAAACATCGTGTGTCTCCTTGGACAGAATTGCTTTCCTCTTGCTCCTTCCTATTTTGGGAATCACTTGTGAAGGATTTGGAGGAGCTTGGGCACCAATATCTCTTTGGAGTGCTAAAGGGATGGAAAGGATGGAAGTCATGGTGGGGTGGAAAGGATGGAAGTCATGGTGGGGTGGAGGTCCTGGTAGGGTGGAAAGGATGGAGATCTTGGTGGGATGGAAAGGAGATCCTGGTGGAATGGAAAGGATGGAGATCCTAGTAGGATGGGGATGTTGGTGGGGTGGAAAGGATGGAGGTCCTGATGGGGTGGAGATCCTGGTAGGGTGGAAAGGAAGGAGATCCTGCGAGGATGGAAAGGATGGAGGTTGTGGTGGGATGGAGATCATGGTGGGGTGGAAAGGAGATCCTGCTGGGATGGAAAGGATGGAGATTGTGGTGGGATGGAAAGGAGATCCTGCTGGGATGGAAAGGATGGAGATCGTGGTGGGATGGAAGGGATGGAGATCTTGGTAGGATGGAGATTGTGGTGGGGTGGAAAGGATGGAGATCCTGCTGGGATGGAGATCCTGGCACAGCTCTCAGGAGCTCCCCCTTTCTGAAGGTGCCCTGTGGAATGTGTTGGGAATCGTCACATGCAGTAAAGAGCAGAGTTCTCGGAGCAGTTGGAAAATCCACCTTGGTTACTGCTTCCAGGGGTGCCTCACCTGGGGTTGAATCCTTTAAATAAATTTTAGGAAGATGTTGTTGCCCTGCTGCTGGCAAGGAGTTGTAATCCAGCAGATTCCTGAGATTTTTCTCGTGCATTATAAAGCTGCTCCCCTCCTGACAGAGTGACCATGGCTGGGGCTTGTTCTAAATTGGGGTTTCTGCCACAGCAGGAGCTGCAGGGCTGATTTATAGCAACAAATATTCCCAAAAAGTGGGAAGGAAGAGGCTCTGTGGATGTGGAGTAGCCTGGGGAGGTGGGAAGCAGGAAGAGTTCAGTGGTGCTCAGGGTTTCTCTGGGACTGGGGCAAAAGGTACTGGAAATATTCCCTGTGGAATGATGATGCCTGAAGTGCTTCATGGGTTAACTCACAATAATTTGGAATAAAATTGTCTTTGTTAAATTAATTGGCTGCTTTGTATTTAAAATCCCAGAACTGGGCAGGAAGGGATTGGATCCCTTCCCTTCTGGAAGGGATCTTAAAGATCTCATTCCACCCTCTACCATGGACAGGGAACATTTCCCTGAAAGATCTCTCAAAAACTCTGGAACTGAGATTTTTTTTTTTTCTGTTTTCCCTTTGATCTTAGAAAATCTGTCCTGGGAATGGGTGCTCAAGGAAACAAACTGTTTCCCAAGGCACCCACAGGTAGGAATATTTGTGCTGGAAACTGTTCCATACCTCAACATTTTGTTCATAAATTTTGGACTCCAGTAAATTATAGGGTTATTCCTCCAGAGATTTAAGCCACATGATTCCCACTCTACTGCTTCAATTCCTGCAGCTCCAAATGCTTGGATTTTCCCACCTTAAGAGTCTTTATCTTGATTTAATAATCTGTTATTGGATCCCTTCTGTATTAAAAGGGTGTTTTACAATTTGGGGTGTACAAGAGTCTGGACTGGCAGGGCACAGGGAATGACTTCAGACTGGAAGGAGTAGGGTTAGATGGAATACTGGGAAGGAATTCCTCCCTGGAAGGTGGGCAGGCCTGGCACAGGTGCCCAGAGCAGCTGTGGCTGTCCCTGGATCCCTGGCAGTGCCAAGGCCAGGCTGGACACTGGGGCTGGAGCACCTGGGACAGTGGGAGGTGTCCCTGCCAGGGCAGGGGTGGCACTGGGTGGGATTTAAGGTTCATGTATTTCTTTGATCTAGCAACCAAAAAAACCCCAAACCCCAACCAAGAGCCCTTCTCCTTTATTCAGTGTTAATATTTGATCAGGCATTTATTTCAATTAAATGTCAGTGTTTGTTTCCTGGCTGGCCCTGGGTTTTCCAGGCAGTTTGGTTGCAGTGCTGGCCCCTCACTGCTCTGAGTTTCTCACCTGTGGTGTCACAGCTCCACGGCCCTTGGGTGGCCACCAGGCAGGGATGTCTGGCAGAGTCCTTGGCTTCCTAACGAGCTCTAAACCAAGCAGCCAATTATTTGTGTTCACAAACAATTAATTAACGCTCTTAATATGAGTAATTATGTTTATCTTGCTGTCCTGGCAAAATTCCATGCTGGTCAATTATGCTCTGCAGGCTTGAAATTGTCTTTTCTGTCTCTCCTCAGTTGTGTCTGCTCTCCCATTCTGAGAGGAAGGGAGTGAAGGTGGGGGTGGAGAGGTTTTCCTCCTATGGCCAAAGTGACATTTGTGTCCAGAGACATCCCAAATTTCCCTTTGGATAGGCTGGAGAGCCACGGAGTGTCCAGCTGGATGCACCAGCTTGGGAGGTGCTTTTTGAGGAGCAGTGCTGGCTCTGGCTGTGTCCCCCACCGAGGGGACCCCCGGTGTCCCCAGCCCATCAGGTGTGTGGCTGATGGACCCTTTGGCCATGCCAGGGTGGGCATCCCAACCATTCCTCTGGCTCAGCAGCAGCCTGGCCCTTGGAAATCTTCCCAGCTCCTTCAGGAGCTCTGGATCAGGTTCATACCAGGTAATCACACTGCAGAAGATCAATGGCTTATGAATATCCACGGGAAATCAGCTTGCTGGGCTGTGTGTGCCTGCGGGGATGGAACCCAGGCTGCTCCTGCGGAGGGGCTCCGTGCATGGAGGATTTGAGCGAGCTCACTGCCCCGAGTGTGTGTTAAATTCGTGTGCACACACCGCTTGATTTGTTCTGAGGCTTTGCTGCTGTGAGTTGCAGATGCGAATCGAACAGCAGCGCGATCAAACCATCAGAGGCAGGGCGTTTTCCTGGCAGAATATTCAAAGGCTTGCAGCGGTTTGTTGTTCCAACGGCGACAAATTTTGTGGAAACTTTGTAAGAGAAGCGAGTTTTACCCTGTCGCTTCCCATTACCAGCGGGCTCTGAAGCCAGAGCCGCTCCACATAAAACAGCGCTTTAATGTCTCCGTGTCTTTATTAAAAAGTAAACTTTGATCGCTCTCATTTACCGCCGAGGCTGAGGTGCCTCCCCCTCCCCTGGCTGCGGTGGGGACCCCGTGACCTTCCATCCCCGTGACCTTTGTGCCTTTATTTTGCTTTCCCTTTGTCACCCCGCTCATATTTCCCCCATAAATTGGTTTGACTGCCGTTCTCCGCCGTAAATTCGGGAAGGCCGACGGGAGCGTCCCCGATTGCCGCTCTGCGGGCGGAGGAGAGCGGCGATCAGCTGAAGTAAATAAGGCTGTAAAATATCAAGAGTGTGATTTTCCCTGGCATCTGCATAAAACCCCCGGCACGTGCGGGTGTTGTTTCCAATCGCGCCGGCGGTTTGTTCGCAATTCCCGTAATTTGATCGTGGCTGATGAAAAGCTGACAAGATTTCCACAGCGCCCCATTAGATGAAAGCAGCATGAAACCAGAGGTTAATCTGCAAACAGATTTTCCTGCTTATTACTCTAATGATTCCATCAGATTTGATGTAGCAGGCTGCGAGGCGTCTCTCGGCAGCAACAGTGTGCTCGGGTTTGATCTCGGTGCTCATTAAATGATGGAGTAATTTGGGTGACCTCTGCCCAGGTGCACATCTCCTCATAATTGCACGGCATTCTGATGGGGAAATTACTGGCGAGAACCCCGAGTATTCATCCCGCTTTCCGAGTGGAAAAACTAACAAAAGAAATATTGCATTAATTTTCAAATGATGATATTACATTTAGTGCCTGGGCCCCATATATCAAAATCTGAGAACTGCTCAGTTACTCGCTGCTCTTAATCTTAATGGTATCTGTGGATGTCAAGGGCATGGAGGAAATTAAATCGGAAAGTGCAGATAGACCTAAGAAGACATTATCTCTTGATGATTGCAGTTTTGATAGGTATTTCAGTGAATTTCATTTTCGCAGAATGGTGGAAGATGAGTTAGCCACCAGATTTTCTCATTTTTCTTCCCCGTGATTTATGTGAGTTGAGTATAAAACTTTTTATGGGAGCGCGGTTACGGCGGATGAGAGGTAAATTAATGCACTGGGTTTCCATCTCGGCCCGGCGCGCGATTGTCAGAGCTGTACATACGTAATGGGGCCCATCATTA